CGGCGAAGTCTTCAATACAACTCTCAGCGAACATACCTGAGGCGCTGTAGAACGACTACTAAAACAATACCGATTTCATGTATAACAAGAACAAGCGGTTATTGTATTTTGCAATAACCGGTCAAATTTGCAGAGAAGCTTCAGAATAAGTAATATAGGCAAATGGCGAAGAAAAATGAATTAAAAAAAATCTCAAAACATTCTGTCCTTTTGATCTTTTAAATTCAAAATGCGTGGAAATGCATTATTTTAACTGATTGTCTTTCATAAATATCTATTTTACTACGTACGCACACATTCGTAAGGGTCGCAAGGTCAGCAAAAACGTTGTGAATTAAATCGCACACAGAGGAGCGCCCGTACGCGTAGTTGTTGCCCATAAATACCGTTCAATTTGGGATAATTTCAAATAAAAGTAGAAGCTTTATTTGCTCGTATTTTCAAATACTGCAATAATTCATTATTTAGGTATTTATTTAAACTAAATTTTAAAATTTAGCCACTGAAAAATAACCCTGTATAATATATATCAACATTTTTTTTCACCCTTATAATTATGTCGCTAATTGAAGTAGTATGGAGTTCGCATAAAATTGGTATCTGTTAAAAATGCTCAGACGTTTTGCTCCCTCTAATACCTTTTACTTTGCCTTGTTGACGATAAATAGTCACTGCTATGGCATAGAAAGTATTATTATGCTTGACTTTGTTTATGCTTGCAATTACATACGTAGCACCATCTCTGTAATCCCTGAGGGGATGGACATTATTCTTAGACCAGGGAAGGAGGACAGGAACAGATTTCAGAACACTTAGGCAAAAATGTAATTATTCAATTCACAAAGACATGGACACTTGGAAATAACTGTGCAGTAGGTAGCTTAATAACACTTAAATAGTTAATTATTTCTAAAAGTGGGTTTACATGGTGCGTTGTGCTAACAACGCTGCGCATAAGCAAGAACGGTGCCGTCGCGTTGTCTTGCTCATATAATTTTGTTTCACATTAGTAAAAATAATTGAAAGATATTAAGGAAATAAGAGCTGAAGGTAGCCTGAATTAACTTATCATCAGGACTTCAAACACCTTACTTTGCGTGACTGCAAAGCACCGATGGTGCTGATGGGTGCTGCAAAGCACTCGACATGTCGAGAATAAATTGAATTACATATAACGCACTATGTAAAATATATTCAAGTATTCGCGGAAATGGTAAGAGACAGGAAGTGTATGAATGCAGATTGCTCACCCATACTTTGTGTTATTCCTTGGCGGAGGCTTATGTTCAGCCGTGAACTTGTGATGGGATGTAATGATGATGATAATTCGTGAAAATTAAGAAATGATTACTTAAATCACTTGCCATCTACTGGTCTACGGGTAGTATTGGTAGTGAAGTTCCAACTTAGTCCTCAGGAGTGACGAAACTAAAGTAAATTTACATCCTATATACACCCCACCGCTGGACACAGGCCTCTTCTCATTTCTGAAAGGGTTTTTGGGCATGTGTAATGTATGAAGAATGTATCCTTCTATATATTAAAAAAAACTTTTGTGGCTTTTTGGCGAAGATCTTGTATTTAGTTTTGAAGGTGTGGAACGTCCTTTTTTATAAAGCCAAAGTGATAAACGATCTTACAGTCCACCAGCACGGCTAGCATGGGCTGGGGACAAAAAATTTAGCTCCCGATTATATCCACTGACAAGAGATAAAATTATCTTGTCCTTATGCCAAAGCACGGCAACGGGGAGAAGTATATCCCTGTCTGACATAACGAGTATACATACATATATCCCCCGTCCGTAGCATGGAGCCAAAGGAAAGATAAAAAAATTTATGCTTTTTTGACATTTGAAAAGGACAATTTTACCCTAGTTCATTGGATGTGGGTTTAAGTATATATTCATACCAAAAATCTATCTAAGTCTATCTTCCATTTTATCTACTGTGTATATTATATTCACCGTTGTGTCCATGCTCGAAAGGCGGATAAAAGCGAGGGGATAAACATTTTCTCCTTTCCCCGCAGATAAAATTGTCTCCTGCCCATGCTAGCTCTGCTGGTGGTATGTGGCTACTCTAGTCCATTGTACCAGCTACTGTCAACTTAAAACAAAGAAGACTGCAGATGCGTTATCGCCTCTAAGGATTAAGATGGAATGCCTGATAGCCTATAATTATACTGGCTGTCGTTACCTTTTAGGCCATAACTCAGTTATAGTGCAGTTACTGCTATTTGGCGACATAAATATGTAGGAGGGTGGTAAGTACTTGACTTCTAGTCAGAGAAGGATCCCCACCAGCCAGTAAAGGAGACCCAGCAATTGATACTATGAACGTCATTCCGCCGGTCAGACGTGACGATTAAGGCGAATTCTCCCTACAGTGAGAAAGGCCCATATAGTAGAGGCTGATGATGATAACGAAATTTACACGCAAACACAGAAGCACTTACTTTAACTAATCTACGCTTATGCCACACTATCAAGCAGCTAGGGCACAAGCTCAAAATACTCAGTCACTTAAACCAACGATTTGTCTTTTTGGCTTAATATCAGAAGTAAAATTGCAAAATCCTATAACTTTTACCAATAACATAACCATTTCTAAACTTCTCACGTACCCTTAAAATTCACTGACGTGACACCCTCTTTAGTTATATTATTTTATTCTGAGGTTATATGGAGAATAAGCCATAATCGCTTGACGTCCCACTTTTTGCCGTCAAATCGCAGTGCCTGTACTGCCGTGTTCTGGTCTAAAGGCTATAGAGTTACAGACTGTACGGCATTAGATACGTGTTAGTAGGTGACACCTGTAGCCATCCTTGTTCGAAGTTGTTTGCACGTGTCCATGAAATGACAGTAGCTACTTGCCATCTAGTGGGTTGTAAGTTCGTTTATCATTTCAAATTTATAAAAAATCCTACATATTAAATATAACTAAATTGTCGTATTTTTCATTCCTTTAGCTTTAATTTAACTTTATTCCCGACGTTTCCATTGCCTCGCAACACCGTTGTTACGGGGATTCGTGTCCTGATTTCATACTTAACCCGGGGCTGGTGTCAGCTTATAATTATTAATTAGTATTCCAAGGTCACCAATAATTCAATTTGGTGATACTCAGTTATTCCATTAGAGTAAAGACAAGCATCTTACCAGCAATGAAATGTCGTTATGGTATCGTAGACTAATGATGACGGCTCATAGACATCGCATTTTAGTAATGTGTAAGTAATAGTGAAAATGATATTATGGCTTCATTCGCATCTACACTATCTGTTTATCGCTTTCCCAGTTAGGTGTTTTTAAAGCAAGAGAAAAATAGACTTTTCTTAGATAAGTCAGAACGGTTTACGTTATTCGACTGCATCACAGCTTAGCATCAGGTGGGATAGTAGTCAAGCTCTAGGTTTAATAGTTTTTTAACAAAGGTTTTTGTCAATTTATTTAGTCCTTGATTGGATTCGTTGTCCAGATACAAAAGTCAGTTACCAAAATTATCAGGTGTTAGTTTTATATATATATATTTGAGTTTCGATTAATTGCATCGGTTGTATGAACTAAATAGCGTCATTGGCCTATGTTTCTTTCATTGCTGGGCACCTTTTATTTTGAGCAAACTAGGTGATTTATAGATAGTTCAAATGACGTATAGAGAATAGTTGTTACCTAAATATGAGACAATATTTTAAAATTCTTTATATAATCGGTATGATGGAGTTACGACCTGGTAAAAGAAGATGGGGGCTTTTGTTCAGCGATGGACGTGAAGGGGCAAAGATGACGATGTAAATAAGTAAGAAAGCACTCATCATTACATCATTACAGCCCTTCACAAGTCCACTGCTGAACTTAGGCCTCCCCCAAGGAATGCCAGAAAGCACGGTCCTGAGCCTCCTCAAACCATCCACTTTCTGCATATCTTACCAGCTCGTCACTCCATCTAGTGGGCTGACGCCCTACACTTCATCCGCCGGTACGAAAAAATGGTTATATATTCGAAAATATATTTAAATGGGCGGAGGCAGTAGGGTATAAGGGGAGAGTCCTTGGCCGTTAGTTTGGATATAGCGAAGGCCGCGATCACTTGGAAGGCAAAGCTAAATTGGCCTCTAAAAAGCTTGGTGTGTGCAGCATAGTGGGACAGTATTTCATACTGACACACCGCTTGCAACTTTACAATGCGCAGTTTCAGCCTCCTACTGGGAATACTGTTCTCATATCTTGCCCGAGGTACCCCAGTACCAGCTCCTTCCACTTGACTGCATCCAGCGCAGAGCGGCCCGAATCTTCTGATGACCCTTGAGATGAGATTTTGCTCAGAGGAATTTTTTGGATTAATTCCAGCCGCCGGATTCCACCAATGCATATCGCGACTAAACTTACGATACCATCCACGCCATTTGGATGCTTATCGGTCCACCACTGTGTGATTTATTAGGAGTTAGTTCAAAGATGTCGTGCGGGGCATCTTTGTTGAATCTTTTACCACCGGCGATTTTTCCGGACCGATACGACTTAGACCTTCAAGAAACGAGCTTTCTAATTTTTTTTTTCAAAAGCGGTAATGCACACCTGCAATTGCTGTAGTGTTGCAGTTGTTCATGGGCGGCGGTCGACCCTTGTGTGACCAAGTGAGCCGCATGCACGTTCGTTCGCCCCGTCTTCTATAAAAAAAATAATTATTCAAATACATGATAGTCCTCTAGCAAGCATTAGAGCAGAGCTCTTCCCGGCTCTTAAAACCAATTTAGAAATTAATATAAATTTAGTTTAGAATGAACAGTTTGTACCCAGTTTTGTGATTTATATAGACGGCTACATATTAAATCGTTAAATTTCAAATAATAAATTTCATTTTAAAAGGTATCATGTTATTCGCACACTGAGAAGGTACCACTGAATAGTTCACAGCAAAGTATAGAGAATGAGAAGCACATGTTTTACCCCTACGTGCACTTTATAATAACTTAAAACACCTTTCTCATTTCAGTGTAGAGAACCATACCAACGAAAATGTTTTGAATAAATCTGATAATTGGGCTGAAACGTCGTTCGGTCGAGAGGTGATGAATGTAAGTATTTATTACTTAATTATTATTATTATTTACTATTGATTTTTGTTTGTTAACGTCATACCTCTATTGTCGTGCATGGTAAAAATTGAGGCGAATGTAAACACCGTTTGAGCTTATTCCTTTACATAGGTGGTGAAGAAAAACAACACGAGTTATAAAAAGGCAGTACGCGAAAGCGATTCGGACAGTTCTCATAGTGCATGTGACAGTGAACTCGATGATCTCCTGGATGAAGCACTTGAAGACAGCGAGGGTCCCACGCCGCCTAAAGTGAACAAGGTAGAATTAAATCTGTACAAATAAATAAGATTGAAGTGTCTGTTTGTAATGTCAAAATACCAGCTTTTTACTAAATGCATATGAAAGTATATACGGTACTTATAAGAAAAACACAATTTTTAAAATATTTGTCTGTCTGTCCGTCTGTCTGTTTGTTCCGACTAATCTCCGAAACGGCTAGACCTATTTCGACGGGACTTTCACTGACAGATAGCTGATGTTATAAGGAGTAACTTAGGCTACTTATATTTTAGAAAAGGAATTAGCGTTCCGCGCAACATAAATAAAACCCTAAATCACACACGGGCGAAGTTGCGGGGAACAGTTAGTTGTAAATATATATGTTTATTCGTTGGCGCTATATAGGAATTTCTATGAATAAAAGTTACCTAAGGATTTTAACCTCTAACTGGATATGTCATCTAAATACTAAGAACAAACACAGCTTGCCATGTCAGTTACCGTTACTCAATTCCACAGAATTAGTAGTTTATTAATAGGGTATTATATACGCTTTTAGAACAGAATCTCGGAAAATGTTCAATGATTGTCAATCAACGTGTAAAAAGGTATTATAACATTAAGAAGTAAGTAGTAAGTAGTCCTCCAAGTCCTCCAGATCGAATTGGTATTATACTATTAAGAATGAAAGGAAGTAGTAAAGTCCTCCAGATCGAATTTCAGTCACGACGACCGAATGCCATACGCGCAAGACAGGATTATAGTACCCGACTGTATGCGCAAGCACAGTTGCACTTGAATCACACATTTTATTCCCTCACTCTCATAGTACGATGGGACGGCAATCTGACACGTTCGAAGAGAGATCAGACGCTGGACTAACGACTTTACGTGCTTTTTGATGCTTCAGTAAGCAGCGCGACTGTTCTATAACCATCTTAGATATTATGAGAGGACTAGTTTATAGGCTTTTTTTTATAGGATAGGGTGACAAACAAGCACACAGTCCACCTGATGGCAAGTGGTTGCTTTGGCCCATAGACATCTAAATCTATCCTCGTATGCGAATCAAAATGCAGATGCGTTGTCACCCGTGTGGACTAAGATGGAATGCCTCTTTTCCAGTAAAAAGGGTCTCCGGTTCTCTACACTCACCATACGAAACACAGCAGCATTAAGCTGCTATTTTACACTGGTTGGTATTCTGTGAGAGCGTGGTCTTTCCCCGGTCGAGGCGACCAATTCGTGCTACAAGTATACTACTAATATAGCTGCAGCATGGCTCTACCACGTTGAAACATTAATATGTGCAAACCTATTGTAGTAGTTAATAATAAATTGCAACACAATTCATAGTTATTTTTGATATATCAGTCATCTATGCATGTATATTTTATTTTGTTAAATATAGACGGACAAAGAGTATTTTAAATGAATAAAAATTATAAATACACGGAAATGATGGACGTGTGATAACACTACACTGAACAGCCGATGCTTTTGGGTCCTTATAAAAATGATGTTCCGTCATAAAATTATACGAACACACTACACACGCTGCTGATGAACAATTGAATATGTTATTGCGGTTAAAAACTACATCAGCAATGTTTGTTGGTAATTAAACTTCTATAGATTGTTTGTCAAGTCTGTCCAGAATATGCTACTGAGTTTCAGACCTTGGTGAATAGTAAACGATTATAAAGAACACGAGACTAGAGTCCGCTGTGAGTTCACTATATTATTCCTGTAACTAAAACATTATGGAAAAGACGAATAAATACAATTGAATTTATACTATGCTAACGCTTGATATATTACCGTATGAGTATGACCCAGGCCGGAGTATGGCGGTGTTCCATCCCCGCGCCCCAGAAATCACGTAAAGCTCAATAGCTTTCCTAGGTCCTGTGTCTGATCTCTCATCAGACTATTAGAGTGAGGGAATCGGAAGTGTGCATCCTGTGCTTTCGCATATATTTAAACACTTCAATCCTGTTCTTAATAGATGTCTGGCTATTCCTCATTAATACAGGCCGTCGTGACTAAAATTCGGTCTGGAGGACATTGTTATGTAATGAAAAACTTTTTGTTTCAACATCGTTATTTATTATTTTGCTTAAATCTTGATTATTTAAAGCCAATTATTATAAGATGTTACTGTGTGACTGTTGCTACTTCATGCTTTCCAAATTTTTATTACAAATGTATCTATAACAGCAGGGTCTGTCTTCATCGAGCTTCGTATACGAAGAAAAGGCGAAATTCAAGTCGCCAGTCAAAATGCCTCCAGCTACTACACCGGCCAGGAACGACCGCGGCTCGGAACTAGTGCACAGCGTCAGTTTCTACAGAAGAATGCAAAATGCCGTAAGTAATTCCTGGGTGAAGATATCCAATGAATGTCTGTGTTTGTGTGTTTTCAAATAGTGTTTTAAAAATATATTATGATTTTCCTTTGTACAGTATTGTTTTAATGTTTAAAATGAAATTTACAAATAGTATTCAAATAAGGAATACTTAGAAACTATTTTTTTAAAGAAAAAATAATGGCGGCTATGTCGGTGTCACATAAAAGAAAAATTTTAAATGTATGTTTGAGATGTAAATACTGCCGCAACAACACGGCATTGTTATATTAATATTGTAAAAAGGCATGTGTCAATCGTGAATGATTAGTTCATTTGACTGGTAGCATCAAAGTATTGATGATTGCAATTACATTTTTAACGTTCCGGACCAAACGATTGACAGGATCTGCAACCAAAGATTATAGTAATGTCCAACGACCGACATTACCGAGCGGGTCTCACAGATCACAGAGTACTGAAACTCGAAATGATCGATTCGAATGACCCGAATCGTAAGACGAATCAATACTTGAATGATTGGGTCATCAGTAATGAATGATAGACACATATTTAATTGGAAGTAAAGACTAGAAATGAGTTGAGGGGTGGATCGAACTTTAGGCCTAGTCAGTTTGAATAGCCTATCATGTAGAGGATGTCATGGGGGTCATGGTTGAATAAGGGCAAAAAATCTCATTACACTCCTAGGGGGTCAAAATGGCCAAAAACCAAAACATTGGCGGTGGCTCGTACTTTAGGCATAGTCAGTTTGAATAGCCTATCATGTAGAGGATCTCATGGGGGTCAAAATGGTCAAAAACCAAAACATTGCGGGTGGCTCGTATTTTAGGCATAGTCAGTTTGAATAGCCTATCATGTAGAGGATGTCATGGGAGTCATGGTTGAATAGGGGCAAAAAGTTCTCATTACACTCCTAGGGGAAAGTAACCAAAAAATTAAAAATTCTTATTTCGGCTATAACTCCGTTTCCTTTGGAGGTTCTTACAAAGTCTTTACTTCCCGCAACCCACTAGTTGTAATTACTGAACAGTTATGACACACATATTGCTATTTTACATATTTCTATGTTTTCATATATTACCATTATTTTTAAAGAGATGTTTACAATTTTGTTTAAAAATATTGCTCAGAGGAATTTATTCAGAATATATATAAACATATGCAGCGTCAAGGGTGCAAGTCGTCTGGTACTGCGGTCGTCAAATCCGTCTGTCTAGCGTAACTATTAAGGTAAAACCCTACAATGGAAGAGGGTTATCCGAAGGGCTCAGAAGCAACATGTCTCAACGAAACCAATATTACTAATAGAAATCCCATGCACCGAGCACCCAAGGTGAGTGGTACTAAGCTCCTCGATGAGCTTGGTCATGTGCAGGTTGAGGAGAATTGAGGAAGTAAGACCATGGCTAATGTAATTGCATAAACCATATCCAGCCGTGGATGTTTACGGGCTGATGGAGAAGAAGAGGGCGACTAAAATTCGATGGAGATGTCATGTCTTCCGGTAGATAACGGAACTGTATAAATACCTTGATTACGTCAGACGCAAAATACCTAGACCGGTGACTAATTGTCAAATTCTCAAACCCTACTCAATTTTAGTAAGTCTCGTGGTGTCACTTTCACTTTGACTTTAAGCGATAGAGACAGCACGAGATCTCAAAAACTATTGGTTTGACCTCGATCAAATTCATATGGGACTACACGAGAAGTATCAGCTTTCAAATAAAAAGAGAATCATCGAAATCGGTTCACCCAGTAAAAAGTTATGAGGTAACACACATAAAAAAACATACAGTCGAATTGAGTACTCCTTTTTGAAATCGGCAGAAAAGTGAGCTTTTATTTTCGTGGTTTGGAACTAATTCAGTTACTGTCATAAACAACTACTACTAAAATATTTAAGGAGTAAACAACGCGTAATTTTAATAATATTTTTTTAATAATATTTTTTGAAGATAATAATTGGAATAATATTAATATTGTTAATATTCTTTTAAAAAAAGTAAATATTTGTATCATTGTTGCCGCCTTTAATGACATTACCATTCGTCGCAACCGCTTCGCTTGTGCGACGACAGCGTAACTCAACCTTCATATCAACCGACAGTCAACAACCCCGTCGACTCCGCTCCGAGTGATACGACACACGTCACCGGATCGCGAGATACCGCCAACTCCGGACCAGCCCGTCGTCAACGTCACCACAGTGCGCGAACGCATCAAGGAATTGCAGAACGAAATCGCCAAGCAACAGACAATCATATCACAGGTAGGTGATACTTATACGAGTTAGAGCCATGTTGCAGCTATATTACTGTTATAGCACGAATAAGTCGGCTCGACCGGAAAAGGACCACGCTCTCACAGAATACCAGTGTAAAAAAGCAGTTTAATGCTGTTGTGTTTCGTATGATGAGTGTAGAGAACCGGAGACCCTTTTTACTGGAAAAGAGGCATTCCATCTTAGTCCTCACGGGTGACAACGCATCTGCATTTTGATTCGCAAACAAGGATAGATGTAGATGTCTATGGGTCACAGCGTCCACTTACCATCAGGTGGACTGTGTGCTCGTTTGTTACCCTTATTCTATTTTAAAAAAAAAACAGTATTTTTAATAATATTCCTTTGTATTTTTGTCCCATATCCGATATGTGTCGTAAGAGGCAAAGGGGATAGAAATAGGGGATGGGTAGCAGAATTTTTCTCATAACAGCTCAAAATTATAAAAAACTGCGTTTGCCATCCCTAAGGTGGCAAATATGGCAAAACTTATGAGACTATCTGTGTCTTTGCTCACTTATTATAGGCTGTCGTTAATTATGCTGCATATGAGGTGCTAGTTGATTTCGGCAACTACAGCCGATGTTAATTCTTATTTTATGATTGCATATAAATCTTAACAACACTATAGAAGGATTGTTATCGACCCTCAAAAACAACTTTAAAGTAACATTCTATGAATAATGACACATTGCTTGACCACTGATCTCTCATTTCTGAGAAGGTTTTAAAGCTAACAAGAGTTTTGCGGTGGCCCAATGTATGTTGGCGAGTTTCGGCAAATTCTTTTCACGCACTCAAACCTTTTAGTTTCTTGAATTTTACGACAGTTTTACTTTCCGTTTTTGTTTCAGGCCAGTCAAGCATTGAATCTTTGCGCCGCTACAATAGAATTTAGCGGCTCCACGGAACAAGCTGAAGGCGAGAGGCTATTGCTTTTAGCGAGTAAGTAAAAATATATAAACATTCATTTCAATTTGTTCGTATTTTATGCGCTGCCATATCTGCCATATCGTTCATCAGATTGCGATAAAACTTTCTCAATTTATTGCTTGCACTTGCGCGAAGGTTATAGGCATAGTACAATTAACTTATTATTTTAATGAATGTATGTATTATCATTCCTAATCTATACAAATAAATAAAATTGAAGTGTCTGTTTGTAATGTCAAAATAACAACTTTTCACTAAATGCATATGAAACAAAATACGATGCTTATAACAAAAACACAATTTTTAAAATTTTTGTCTGTCTGTCTGTCTGCCAGTTTGTTCCGGCTAATCTCCGACACGGCTGGACCGATTTTGACGGGACTTTCACTGGCAGATAGCTGATGTCATAAGGAGTTACTTAGGCTACTTTTATTAAAAAAAGGAATTAGGGTTCCGCGCAAAAAAATAAAAACTAACACGCGAGTGAAGTCGCGGGGAACAGCTAGTTAAACAATATAAATCTTGCAAATTTAAAACGATATTTCCACAATTATTTCTTCTGCGGCAGCAACGCGCCGGGTATACCAGCTAGTGTACAATGAAAATTAAGAGACGTTTAGAGGTTTTGAATGTTTGTGAAATCTACGTCAATTCAAAAAAATGCTTTAAGTTCCTCTTTCTTTCTCTTCACTGTAATTAACACTTAATGTAGTAATAAAAATAATAATAATAAACAATCAAAGGATATAACTACCGCAAAGTGGTTTTGGTATTTCTGTTTTTTATAACGTTAACATTTATATTAAACGACATCGATATTTATAAAGTTATTAGAAAAATTGTTCATATTTTCAAACGACTTAAAAAAACAAGAGGCTCTCAATTCGTCGGATATTTTTTTTTTGTATGTTGTGCGATAATTCTTTATAATTTGTTCGATGTTTATGATTATTTTTATATTAGAAAGTGGGGTCCCTCAAAGTTGGTCTCATATACATTTAGTTAATATTTTATCATAAAATTATCAAAGTTTTCAATTTGCTAAGGCATCTGCACGATACATTTTGGCGAAAAAATATTTAATTTTATATTATAATTATATTCATTCGTTAAAACTACAACTCTTCTGTGGCAATGGGGAAAGAAGTTGACGTGTTACGCTCTATTGCATTGTGCATGACTTGACCTTGAAATTTAAATCAGCTTAATAGGTCTGCAGGATATTATTTTGAAAGTAGTACCCAAGAAACTTTTTTCTTTGGTAATGGACTCGTACGGTTGTACTTTTGCCAGTGTCAAGTAATTTAAAAAATAATGTTTTTATAATAATTTGTTTAAATATTTCTTCATTATATGTTAATACGTCACATTTGTGAAGTTCTTGGGAGATTTTAACGACAGCTTAACGCAGAGCACAGTCGATGATCTTAATATCTCGCACAAAAAAAAAACTGAAATTTATATTACCGTCAAAGCACTTGGTTACACCGTTTTTATTAATAATTCACATGCGCAGACAGACTTAGTACACAAAACTAATCAAATCAAATCTACTACAAACCATTATTTAACCACTAATACAAAAATAGTACGTTGTATAGCACGTTTTTATGTGGTGCAGTAACGCTGCAGCTATAATATGCTTGTAGCACGAATGGGTTGGGAAAGGAGCACTGTCCCACACAGTGGAGTAGCGTGCCTTAGAGGGTGCCCTGTATCAAAATTTGTCTGGGGGCCCAAATGAAGGGTAAAGATTTTTCACAAAAGGAACAAAAACTCTCGCATTGAATTAAAATAATTAAGTATTGATTATAAGTTATTACTTACAATAAATACTCCTAGGAACTAAGCTAGCCAACCAATTCAAACCAACATCTTGTTCCATAGAAGTCCTTAGAAGTTTTGCTTAGATACGTTCGGGGCCTCTGTAGCCCGGCTGATACGGCGGTAGCTACGCCCCTGGTCCCACAAAATACCAGCGTAAAATAGCAGTTTAATGCTGCTGTGTTTCGTATGTAGAGTGTAGAGAACCGGAGACCCTTGTTGCTGGACATGAGGCATTCTATTTTAGTCCTCAAGTGTGAAAACGTTTAATTGAAGATAGATCTAGATGTCTATACTCATATGGCCACAGCATCCATTTACCATCAGGTGGACTTGTGTGCTCGTTTGTTATCCATATTATATTTAAAAAAAAAGGTTAATAATAACACAAGAGCAGCAATGCGCCGCCGGTCAAGTTCCCGCCAGAACTATATGCTAACATTTGTGTGTGTGTTGTTGCAGGCCACAGGCGGCAGGCGTGCGTGCACGAGGTGCAGCGGCTGCAGGTGGAGGGCGCGGGCCCGGCCGCCGCCGCCGGCCCCGCCTCGCTACACCTGCACGCGCTCAATGTACCCTTACGTCGCGACTACGTGCGGCAACTTAACGCGGGTATGTATGACACATGAATTAATAGCAAAATTAGCTAGCGTGTATACTTTAAGGGTTACATTACTTTTTATTCCCTTATTAGCCCTTTTATATTCTAAAAATGATTCAGTATAATTTTGCTAGTTTTAATAATTTTAAAATGTTCACACTAAGTCATTACCTAACCTCGATTTCTCCTCTCTAGCTTCCCCTTTTCTCTCCTTAATTAATCTAAATTAAAAGAGAATCCCCTAATTTGTAAAACACTGCTATGTACGCACGATGCGAACAACAGGACTGCCGAAATTACCATTTTGCCTCGCATTGAACATCAACTTCAAGTGTTCCTGTAGGAAATGCAAAAAATATAACTTAAGTTCATTCAATAAATATTTATTTTTATTTCAATTTCTATAATTTTAAGTAATAACCGCATTTTGTTTTATTTTACGCACTTAACATTCCATTATACAATGCTGAAGTTTGTGCAATCCCGTTTAGTGGCGGTGTAAGAATATCCACTACCCCATATCATCTCGTGGGTGTCGTAAGAGACGACAGAGAAAATCAAACCAGGAAATAGGCAGCAACATATTCCTGATAACAACTCAAAATTATACAAAAAAAACTGAGGTTGCCAACCCGTTTGCCAAGCGTGGCAACTATAGCGAAATCTCCCCTATGAGACAATCTAAGGGCGAGGCCTATGTTCAGCAGTGGACTTTATAGGCTGTAATGGAATGGATGGATACAATGCTATAATTTTTTCAAGTTCAATTCCAAAATTATGAAATTTTGGAAATTATATCTGATTGAAGAGAAATATTTATTAATATTTATTATTGCATTTCTAGCCAAGGGTTAGGTATGTATATATATATATATATATTGTTTTATAGTATTTTTGGAATGCTCCCGAAAACGAAAACAGACGACAGTATCAACTATACCTTTGATGATGGGTGGAATATAAAATCGGTCCTGATGAAAGAAAAATCATCTTTTCACAACGTTTTATTAGCTTTATTCATTCTCTATCATGTTAGTACAGTTAAATCAAACGATAATTTCATAAAAAAATCATAAAAATAATGAAACATAAAACCAGCAGTGGAATTACGGAATTGATATCAGCTGACTAGAGGTCAATGTACGCGCGAACGCCGAACTGTTATGGGTGCGGTCCCGTAAAAAGAACGCTGGCCTTGAACCTGGGCACTGAGCGATTTATCACTGATCGGTACGAAGGGGGCGCGACGGGGGAACAATCCGCCAGTATCACTGTGCCTGCGTGCTATTGGTTCCCGCGCTTTGTTTGCTCCCAAAATACAGTCGCATACACAGCTTACTTTTCGACTCGTGACGATGGTTTTGAAAAGGAAGGAAAGAAAAATTATTTATATCTATTGTTTTATGACTGAACTAGTGAACGAAAAGGTAAATATGATAGGAGAAGGTGAATGGGGAAAATTGTGCAGTTAAAAGTGTTGAGGAAAAATACCGAAATAATTACCATGTGATCGACCTGATGACGGAAGCGATGATGAAAGTGATGATGAAGTAGCATCCAGTAACACCAACACACCATCGACATCTGGCTTCCATGTGACCCAAGGCGACATAGTGGACGGCGTGTCACCCTTAGCTTAAGTTTTCTTGTTACAAACTACTTTATATTTTACGATAGAAATAACAAATAATGCTCAAGTAAACATTATCCATTTTTAATTCCAACCTCTTCCAAAGTTCTAAGTAGGTAGTAAAACACCTATTATGATTCTACAGTAAAACAATTAATTACTATAATATTATAAAACAATAGCCTTACTTAGCCGTAGTACTTTAGAACGCGACTTTACCCATGCGCAGACACTCCCTCCACTGCATTGCATTGCCAACGCTGCCAAGTTGCACTGAAATTTAGTTTGCCGGCGACATAATAATTAGAGGCGGCAATCACTATAAAACTTGCAAGTCATTTTTAATAATTTACGTATTTCTTTTTAAAATTCAAAGTATTGATTGATTATCCAGATTAAATACGGAAAGTCAATTAAAATAAAGTAAAAGTATTATTTTTTACATTAATTCTGATAGATTAATCAACTGTCGATCATAATTGCAATTGATTTTAACTATTAAATTATTCAGTACCATTTCATTTCTATTTTCTTATACAGAATCAAAGATAACGATGAAATAGTGTTTATAATTGTGTGAGTACTGAGTACCCAATTACGTACGTTTATTAATGTCAATAATTTTTGTAGCAAAGAACTGCTTGTTGCGTCAGGGTACAATTGATTGTGTAATTGTATTAAAGATGACAACCATAACCTATAAATTCCATATGAAGACTAGTCGTATAAATAAATAAACGTTGGCGATGTCTTAACATACATAACGCTTTAACGGTGTGTGGAAAGTTCCAGCGTTTTAAGGACTTTGCCTTATATGCGCATTAGTTTTGGCGGAATAGATTAATAATTTTAGTTTTTGAGACAGTGCCGTCTTGACCATCACGAGAGACACTACAATTGTTTTGTTTATTAAATTATTCCTGTTAGTTATTACTTAATGATATTATTCTTGTTGTTACGGTTTAAGTTTCTTGTTTTGTTTTTATAATGCCTAACGCGTATGTTTATAGTGCTCGTGAATACGGCAACATGTTAATGTGCCTTGGAGAAGCTCGCGGGTATGCATCGCGTGCATTACGAATTTACCGAGAGAAATTCCCGACCGCTCGACATCCAGCTGACTCTCGTCTGATAACAGCAGCATTTCAGCGAGTGTTGGAAAATCGGCCCATAGCTCTGGTAGCGGCAGGAGATGGATGTCAAGTGGCTGTTCACTCAGAGAAGCGCATTTTAGATGTCGTTCGCCGGTATGCAAACCTAGGTACACGAAGTATCGCTAAATTGTTAAGGCGTCGGGATGGAACAAGTGTGTCATACTGAACAGTTCACAAAGTGTTAAAGCGTAACCGAACGGGCCCATACAAAGTGTACAAGGTGCAAGCGTTAGTTACCGGCGATCACGACCGCCGGCGAATTTTCTGCCGTTGTTTATTATACCAACAACAACGTGTGCCTGGTTTCATTGAGCACGTCATCTAGACGGACAAGTTGACATTTACCAGAAACGGCCTGTGGAACCGAAGAAATACACACGTGTATTCCGAGGTTAACCCGCACGCTGTTCGACAAACTGGGCACCAAACCCGATGATCGGTTAACTTATGGGCAGGTTTATTTAAGAATCGCATACTAGGACCAGTGTTTCTGCCACAGCGACTTAACGGACAGCGATACCTGAACTTCATAAATAAACAGTTGGCTGACATTTTAGACGACCTATCGTTGGCTGAATATTGCCGCACATGGTTCCAGCATGATGATGCCCCTCCACATGTCGTGAGGTTCGCCCGTGAGCGCCTCAATGAGCTATTTGATGATCGCTGGATTTGGCGAACTAGGACCACACGCTTGGCCACCTCGCTCACCAGATCTGACCCCGTTGGACTTCTTTCTGTGCGGGTATTTCAAAGAAAGGGTGTTAATCGTGAGTGTGATAGTGCTGACGAAATGCGGCAAAGGATCGTGGATGTTTTCGACAAACTACGTACGGACTGTGTCGAAGACCACATGATGATGCCCCGCCTGCATGAGGAGACGCAACACCAAGCCCAAATCTGCTTTGAAATGAATGGAGTACAATTTGAGCCGCATCTCATAAAACCACGGAGGATTTAGAGCGTTAAGCTGTTTCATAAATAATCTTTTTAAATAGCTTAGTACTGAACTAATCTGAATAGGTACATAACTGAATACATCAGAATAATAAACATACCTACACGATGAATAAAAACGCACAACTCTAACCTTGGTTACATTTCATTTAAGTGTTTTTTCATTAGCGGGGAATCGAACCAGTTATTTGGGTTATTTAACCTGTAAATTCGGATTAAAGTGGCTACGTGGAGACAAGCACAGTGGCAAAATAGTAGATTAAAGTAAAGTAAGTATTTACAAGTATAGTATGTATATTTTTATATTTACATTCACGTATATATTCTCAAGTTTATATGGCACCTACTTAAGTTTCTCTGCTTAGCTCGTGGTTGACTGGTAGAGAATACCTAAACGCATTAAGTCCGCCAATTGTACATCTTAAGTGCAATAAAGTGCAAAAAAAAATTAAGTAGATAAGTTAGGTATTTGGACAAGTGTTGCAAATTATTAGGTATTGTGGTATGGCCCGCTAGCTGCGGGCCGCGCGAAATCGCGTTCGCGCGTACATTGACCTCTTAGTCAGCTGATTGTAATTCAGTAATTCCACTGCTAGTTTTATGTTTCAGTATTTTTATGATTTTTTTATGAAATTATCGTTTCATTTAGCTGTACTAACATGATAGAGAATGAATAAAGCTAATAAAACGTTGTGAAAAGATGATTTTTCTTTCATCAGGATTGATTTTATATTCCACCCATCATCAAAGGTATAGTTGGTACTGTCGTCTGTCTTCGTTTTCGGGAGCGTTCCAAAAATACCCTATATATATATATATATAAATAAACGCCAAGTATAATATAATAAATAAAAATATTTGTATTCTAAATATTTAAAAGTAAGATGTCATATGAGTAAGGAATTATTTTCTCATAAAAGAAATATATAAAATGTGAATTTTATAGATGGTGCCACTGGTCACCATGCTGTGTGCTTACTGAAGTGTCGCGACCGTGTTTTGGCCACAAGCATGCAGCTAACCCAGCCCACCAGCAGCATTTTACATTTCCCCGACGAGATACGAATGGATGGACTCGCCAGTGATTTCAAGGTAAGATTTCTATTAGACAAATACAAACTTCGGTCATAGAGCGCTTTAGGTTTTCACGTCTAAATTAGCTATACGAATCTTTCGTAAACGAAGGCGTGGACAAGAACTAAGTATTAACATGTGGTAGAGCCACGCTGCAGCTTTTTTTATTACTGCAGCACAAGTGAGTCGACTCTACTGGAGAAGGACCACAATATCACAGAATGTGTTTTATTGAAGTATAATTATAGAAAAATCTATTAAAATTAAAAAATGCAACTAAACTACGATGTAAAGCCTCTTTGTCATAAAAGGGTCTTCGGTTCAGCACTATGCTTTTTCACGCTGATGTTCTGTGCTAGCCCATGCTGGGAGAGTCCATTTTTGTTTATAATAAAACATTTTTAATAGTGCTACTATAGTATAATTGTGACATACATTAAATCACAAAATGTCAAAACTACGAGTATATCTAGTAGAATAATAATTTTTCTATTTTCAGGTCACTGTTGAAATCTATCTATTGCAAGCGTCAAAGGAAATTCTACCCCATGAAGTCAAATATCACATCTCAAATAAGAAGGTAAGATTTAAATATTGATTCTTGCCCGACCACGACCCTTCGTACTATGGTTTGCAACCCTGGTTCACTACCTGTTTTGTATTTCGTACGGAATTTGTGGATGAGGATGAAGACATACGAATTATTTTAAATATAATTGAAAATATTGTACTCCCAGTGGAGTGTGTAACATATAATTTCTCTTTTTATCAAACACTCCATAAACAAGGAATGTCAACATCATCATCATCATTTCAGCCCTTCACAAGTCCACTGCTGAACATAGGCTTCACACACAAAGCACGGTCATGAGTCACCTGTATCCATCAACTTTTTGCATCTCATCTATCATCATCATGCTTTACTGGTACAACGCAAACGAGGATATATAAATAAGATAACAACGATGTACAAGATGAAAGAATATAACCAGTGAAAACCATATTTATAGTTTCGGAATTGAATTTTGCTGAAAAAAAGAAACAATCAAAATAAAATATAATAATATATCAAAATAAAGTAAACATAATAATTAATTACGAGAGTATTTGTGTGAAGTCAAGTTAGATCCCTAGACCTGAACTACCTGCACCATTATGTATTCTGTGCCTAAACTGTAATGTCAATGAAAGAAAAAGTCATTCTGGAATGCGTAGGGAAGATTGGCATTTGATAGTTCAGAAATAGGTGATATGTACTATTTAAACACATACCTTTTTCAGGCACTATACAACAACAGTTTATTATTATAAAATGTCTAATATTATTGTAAAGTTATAAATCAGAATTAAATTTTCAGTCAAACTCAAAACTCCTGACTCCAAAGTCAAAGGTATCAGAACTGAAGGCCCCGCGCGTCCAGAGTCCGGCCGGACCTCACTCCGTCAGAAGTCCGCAGTTCCAGTTGCATGGGTATTGCATATTCGCGTTGCAACAGGCGTCCAGGAAATCCTTCACGTTAAATAAGGTGAGATTTTTAACTATGCATATCAAATAATATATCTACTTCCAGTATTGATGGAATTACAATGATTATTATAAAATTGTTCTTGATGATGAATATAAGTTTTTCCACGAATAATTTGTTCTCTCTTCCTTTTTACCATCTCTTGTTTGCTTATTATTAGTATTTAGGTACTATTCGACTGTGGTAAAAGGTTAGGGGTCGAGCGCTTGCCTTAAATTTCATTGTATATACAAGCTACTCCATTTCGATTCCCGCCCCCACTCGTGACCAGTGCTCTTCCACCGGACCCATTCGTGCTACAACCATAACGTAGCTACATCGTGGCTTAACGGAATTATAAAATGCTATTACATGACATACAATACATACACGTCAAGCGACTATAAAGCATGTAATAAATTTTCGTTGTTACGAGTAAGAGTACTTTTCAAGTAATACCCTATTCACATTAGACAATTATTAAAATATAACGAAGTAAATAATGCTATTTCTAAATTATTAAATTGGTTTAATGTTAATAACTTGCATTTAAACGGCATTAAAACGAAATGTATGAAATTCATAACTCCAAATGTCAAACAATTAAATCCTAATGTAATTTTAAAATGGAGAGGAACTGAGTCTTGTCTGAACCATTTTTCTTGGAATAAATCTAAACGCGAAGCTTCAATGGAGCCCCCATATATCAAAATTAGCAAGCAGACTTAGTTCTGCAGCATATGATGTAAAAAAGATTAGAAATCTTACCAGTGTGGAAACAGCTAGACTTGTTTACTTTAGCTAATTCCATAGCATTATGTCGTATGGTATTTTGCTATGGCGTTTCGCGACGTGAAATTATATTTGTTTTATAGAAGACGGTCATAAGACCAATCTATGATTTAAAACATAAAGAGTCGCTTCGACAGAATTTAAGGAAATTAATATTGGCTTCTCAATACATTTATGAAAATGTAATGTACGTACACAAAAATAAAGTCAGTTACAAAAATAAGTGATATTCATTCTGTAAATACTAGGAATAGACACAAGCTAGTAGTACCTACCGGTTACTCGACTCCACCGAGTCAGTAATTCATTCTTGGGGCGATGTATACGCTTTTACAACAAAATCCCAAAAAATATACAAAATTTGACCTGCTCAAAGTTCAAAAACTAACTAACTATTATAATATTAAGGAATTTTTGGATGATAATAACCCCTGAGAATGAGGTGATCGCTACCAAGCTATTTCTAATTTGTTTTGTGTGGTTAATTGTGATTACATGATTGTAAGCTGTTATTTAAAAGAAAAAAGTCCCGCTGGGTTTCTTGCTGGTTCTTCCCAAGACAGTTTTTTCGTACCAGTGGTAATTAAACAAAAGTGACTTTCAATAAGTATTACTTATAATCTGTATTGAATAAAAACGTTACTGTTTCTGTTTCATATCTTTATTTTAACCGACTTCAAAAAAGGAGAAGGTACTCAATTTGACTTTATTTTTTATGTGTTACCTCAGAACTTTTTTCTAGGTGAACCGATTTTGATGATCTTTTTTTTATTTGAAAGCTCATGTGGTCGCATATAATAAATTTGATCAAGATCTGACCAGTAGTTTTGGAGTCATCCTTAATAATGCGTATTTAATTGACTTCGACTGCATTAATAATGTTATCATTTTATTTATATTGAATTCGGTTGCCCAAAATTTTTAATTTTACCCCTTGTTCTATTTTAATGATGATGCTTTTATACTAGAATTTTCTCCTGTGTTGTGGGTTCATATTCTTACGTGAATTTCACAAGGATAAATATACATACCTGGAACAATTGTTTGTAGGCCATACAAATACTTGTTCCGTGAGGGACCAAAACGGCCCTTAGCACTGCAACTTATTGCTAAGCCACGGAGCCGTCAATATCTTGATTGCATTGTACAATTTTGTCATAAATTTCTACACGTTTACGTGGTAGAGCAACGGCATGAATGGGTCGGTTCGGCCTGAGAAGGATCAAGCACTCACAGAATACCAGCGTAAAATAGTAGCTCAATGCTGTTATTATAGTGTTTCCTATGGTGATTGTAGATAACCGGAGAGAACCTTTTTACTGGAAACGAGGCATTCTATCTTTGTTTTCATTTTTTCAACTTTACATTCACATATCACACACCTTCTCCTGTATCGTATCGTTTACATACATAAATTTCACAAGGACAAACATCCAGACCCAGAATAATTATTTGTAAACCATACAAATACTAGTTCTGTGCAGGATTAGAACCCGCGACCCTTAGTGATGCAACTCATTGCTAAGCCACTGTGCTACGGAGCTGTCAGGGCCGTCGTTAGTCGTTAGTCCTCAGAGGTGACAATGCATCTGCATTTTAATTTTTAACAGAGGATATATGTAGATGTGTATGCATCATAAAATTCACTTAGGGTGACAAGCGAGCGCACAGTTCACGTGATGATAAGTGGATGTTCTAGCCCACAGACATTCCTCGATTAAGAATAAAAATGCAGATGCGTTGTCACCCCCTGAGGACTAAGATGGAATACCTTGTATTCAGTAAAAAGGGTCTCCGGTTCTTTACACTCATGATACGAAACAGCAGCATTAAGTTGTTATTTTACGCTGGCATTCTGTGAGAGCGTGGTCCTCCCCTGGTCGAGCCATTCGTGCTACAACTGTAAGATAGCTGCAGCATGGCTCTACCAAGAATCTACTTACTATCAGGTGGACTGTGTATTTGTTTGTAACCTTTTTTCTATAAAAAAAAACGGAGTGAGGCTATGTTGTGGGCACTGCCGTGAGTTTTACGTGAATACGTGTACGTACGTAACCTCAAAATGGCGGCGCCCGCTTCGCTGCGTGCGATGCTTTTTTTTATAGGATAAGGGTGACAAACGAGCACACAGTCCACCTGATGGTAAGTGGTTACTGTGGCCCATAAATATCTACATCTATGTTCGATTACGAATCAAAATGCAGATGCGTTGTCAACCGTGAAGACTAAGATGGAATGCCTCTTTTCCAGTAAAAAGGGTCTCCGGTTCTCTACACTCACCACACGAAACACAGCAGCGTTAAGCTGCTATTTTACGCTGGTATTCTGTGAGAGCGTGGTCCTTCCCTGGTCGAGCCGACCCATTCGTGCTACAACTATACTACTAATATAACCGCAGCATGGCTCTACCACGTATAAATGTGTCACAGTCCTTACTCAACTCAACGCAACGAATTCTTTGATCCTTTAGCTATCGAGTGGTATATTAAAATTTTGGACGTAGATGATAGATATATGTAACTGCAACACCAAACTGTATCCCTCGATTTTGTTATCATCAGTTTTCTGAGTTGCCTCCCAATATGGAAGCAAAATTTAGGGAGGTATTCACGTCAAAATGGTTTGTCGGCAGGTGCCTTGCGGCAGTCCGCTGGAGGGCTCGCTGAACGTAGACATCCGCGCCAAGCTGCGCGTGTCGCCGCCCGCGCCGCACTGCGCCTTCCTCACGGCCTTCGACGACGTGTCGGGGCTCGGCGCCTGGCACCGCCGCTGGTTCCGCCTCACCACCCCTCGCCTGCAGTACTGGAAGTACCCGGACGATGCCAACAAGAAGGTGAGGAACTCTCCATCGCCATCGACTCAAGTTTCCAAAAACTTCGCAACAACACATCAACATATTGTAAAGGAGTATTTTATAAAGTAGAAAGAGTCTATAACCGTGTATTGACGGTCTAAAAATATTCTTTACGTACGAGTCCATTACTCCATTAGTCTCAATGTAGTGTACAAGTGTATCAAGTACATATTCAGTCTATTTTCTCACACTCGTAGTCCAATGGGACGGCAATCGGACTTGTTTCTTCTTAATTTCTTGACGGAAAACCCCAATATGATTTAATTACTATATACCGTATATTGGTGCGATGTAAGTATATGCACGACCAAAATATCGCAACACACTACAGAAAGTAACAAACCAGAAGATGGGCAGGAGCATTTTTCCTTTAACAACTAAAAAATAAAAAAAACCGCGATGACCATCCCGCCTGCCAAATATGGCACCTGTGGCAAATATCCTCCATATGAGAAATCTATGGGGAAGCCTATGTTTAGCAGTGGACTTTTGATATCTTATGATCAAATTACATAAACACTACTTCGTTGATACTGAGTTGGTATCCCAACCAAAATTAATGTTTGTATAAAAACTTGTCAATTTTTTAAGTAAAACTTGACAGTAACACAGATCGCGAAATTAGTAAACTGGTCTACCTATAGTCCATTCAAGCAATTTCCGCATTAATAAAGACAGCGACTGAGAGTATAATATATGTTACACCTACACATATAATTTTTAGACATTAAACCTCTATTTTTAGATATAATATAGATAGTTGAATACCAATTATTATTAATATGTGGAAAAATTCAAAATATATCAGTAATAATGAATAAATACCAACAATAAAAATTAATTAATAATTATTAATAATCATGGAATTTACTCGTATAAAGGTTACAAACACTTACTACACACAATTTTTTGAGTTTAACTATATTGTGATTGTGGCTGACTCTGGCAATATCTCCTAGCCGACCTCTAATACTATCGCATTAGCCTTACATTGGCTTCGTTTAGGTTAGAAAAATCGTTTTAACGTTTACTTGTGGCACTATATAATATGTTTCCGCTTTGTAGATAGCTTCTAAATATTCGCATTACTGTAGTGACACTGTGTAAAAGAGTCCACCACCCCATATCATGCAGTTGGTGTCGTAAGAAGCAACAGACGGAATTGAAACAAGAGATGGCCAGCAGCATCGTCCTGATAACGGCTCATGATATTTAAAAGAAAACAGCGTTCGCAAACCATCCTGACAAGTGTGGCAACTATGTACATTATCAACCTATTGAGGCAATCTATGGGGGCTTGCCTATGTTCAGCTGTGGACTTTAACAGGATGTAATGTTGATGATGGTGATAATGCTCATCATAAAGCATTTCGTTTCAGATGCCAATCGGCGACATCGACCTCTCTACAGTGGTGTCGGATAGAGTTGTGAAGGCGCCCAGAGATCTCTGTGCAAGACCGAACACCCTCCTTCTAGAAACTTCCGTGCCCGCCGGCTTAGCGTCCCCGGACACGGGCTCGCTCATTTACGTGCAACGACCGGACGGACAGATTGTGCGGAGACATCTTTTAGCTGCAGACACGCCCAAGGATAGAGATGAATGGCTCGCGTGTCTCAATAAGGCGTTAGAATATGTGAGGTGCATGGGTACGGACGATGATTAAACAATTAGATTCATATGCTTTTGCGCTGAAATAGGTTTCACTCTACTTTTACGACAAATTTGAAAATATTTTTTTCAAATGAGAAGCTTACAACCTTAAATCTGCTAGATGAATCATTTTATCATCTTGTCATGTCATCATTTAGAACTTCCAAGTTTTGTATGCTCTATAATATACTCCAGTATTGTAACATACAAAAGAATTATCCACAGAACTATGCCTTTTATAGTATGCAGTAACAGCATGCGGTTCACATGCTTCATATATATATTGTATATATGAGTGTAATGTAAACGTTTTTTTTTTTTTACCTTCGGGCCAATAAAGAAGGAAAGACAGAACTCTACGTCCATTTCAAGTGACGCCGAAACCATGCTCAACCTCTTGATCATCATGAAGAGTCACGCACACATCTTACTTCTCTTCTTCATTCTTTCTTTCATCAGCCCTTAAAAGTGTGCTGCTATAAATCCATCGCTGGACGCACACATATGGACATATTTATGTTGTTGGTTTACAAATGATAGTAGATCATTGTGCTATATGTACTACGTACTAGAGAAGCCATTCCAACCAAAAATTGTGTCCTACTCTATGTCTTCGCGCATGCGCCCGAAGTCTTTAATTTTATATAAAATAAGATATTAATATAAAATAAATATAAGAATTTAATATAAAATATCTAATTTAATCTAAACAAACATATTTCTAAATAAAATGTTATAATAATTATTTTATGGAATTCACAAATCTTCAATTTACGCAATATTTAGTTTGTACGGCTTGCAGTACAGTTCAGTTGAACATAGTCAATGTTCGGAATGGCTTCTCTAGTACGTAGTACATATAACTCAATGTAGTAGATACATATCTTTGTGAGTGCGTGTTCTTGCAATAAGTTGAGCACAGGTTTTCGGTTATTTTTTCCGTCACTTGAAAGGTACGTAGTGTTCTATCTTTCTTTGTTGGTCCTAGTTTTTACCAAGTAAAGTATCTTATGTATGGTATGTAAGGTTTACTAAAATACTATAGAGAAATCTGTTACTTATAATAATTGGCTTACTGAAAATTTAAGGATATTCAAAATTAACAATTTCACTGCAACGTCGCAAGTTCTTTTTAATCATTATAAATTAAACGTATGGGTTTTTAAATGATAAAATATGTATGTATTTAATTAATGCAAAAAAATTATGTACAGTTTTAAAGATATGAAATATATTTTTAACACTTGTTTGTGTATCGTAAATTTAATTTTGGATTTCAATAATGTAAGTTATCCTTCGATAGTTATTATGTTTTATTAATTTTCACCAACTGTCTAATGATTGATTAGAGAGTTCGAAATTTATATGTATCTTATTATAATAATCTAATTATAATTAAGATTACGCAGTCAAGTACCTATTATTAGTCTTAATTAATTCACCTATGGCCAAATACTCCAACGCTACTCAATTTTATGATGTCGTTAAGTCTCGTGGTGTCTTTGTCACTTTGACTTTGATAGAAACAGTACTATGGAGTGTAGAGTACAAGGAGAACCATCTTATAAGGGGCGAAAGTTGAAAAAGTGTCCTACTATTTACTGAAAATAGAGGTTCCAAAACCTACCACAATAGCGCTGGCGTCTGAAAAACTACGATATGAAGATAGCTGATGTGAACGGAGTGAAGTCAGCTGAATTCAAATATTTTAAAAAATTCATGATTAGAGTAGTTAGTAAAATGCCAGTATACAAAATCTCAACTATTTACGTAGTACAAAACCAAGCGGATTGGTATTACTTTTACTTATTCTAATTACTTTTGGCGTTTTTTTTTTAATTTATCCTATGCTAGTACAGCGCCACCCTTATTGGACACGTTTTTAGGGACACTTTTCATATATAGAGATGGTCCTCCTTTTCTCTACACTCCATAGACAGTACGATACTTGACGGCACCTTAAAATTGAGCAGCGTTTGAGTATTTGGGCACTAATGTATTTTAATTTTAATGTCGTCAATACGAATAATGAGAATACATGATTATAATGATAATATTCATATTATCATTGCAATAAATAATTTGTTTTTATGTTATAATATAAGTTATGTATATAAAATCAAATACGTACAATAAAGTTTGTATCAGCTTTATGAAGTTGTTTTGTTTCACTTCTTTATTATGTAATTATTAACTATGTCATATTAACAAAGTTGCAAGTCAAGAAGCGCTGCGCATATTTTAAGTACGCAAAACAAATGCTCTTGTCTTGGTTTTTGCGTCATTTGCAATGTACGCAGCGCTTCGTCTTTACTTTTGTTGATCAGAGTTTACTACATCAAGTCTTTTAAAGTCTTTTTATAATATGATTTCGACATTTTGAGACAATTCTTATTTTTATTTTATAGAAAGGTGACACGAGCACACTGTCCACCTAATCGTTAGTTAATTTTGTTACACCTAAGGACTGAGATGGAATCACCATACAAAACACAATACTTAGTATATATTTTTTTTTTGGGTTTATGGCCTGGCATCTAGACCTTTAGGCCATTAGTATATATTTCATCGACGCAAGTGTTGCCACTAAAGAATATTTTGAGTTTAACTTTTAAATTTTACAATATTTATACTTCTTATATGTACACAATTGGTAAAACGCCACTTTGTTATTAATACTTTGCTGAATTGATTTATAAAATCGGTATTATGAACTACTAGAGCTCTTATCAAAATTAATAATGCGTATACAATGATATACATAATTATCTGGCAGTTCTAAAAGTGCTTCAACCAACTTAAAGATTTTCAAGATCCAGATTCACTTCTTATCGTCATCATAATCCAGTGACAAGTCCTCTCTGTCCGCCTTCCGATGCTTGCTCAGCTTTTCCTTCCGCAAAGACTGTTTTAAATCGTGCTGTGAAAAACGAATACAAAAATGTATCATTATCATATATATATATATATATATATATATATATATATATATATATATATATATATATATATATACAACGTGTCCCAAAATTCAACGATAAGCCAACACCGGAGGATAGACCTGCCCCGGACTAATCGGGTAAAAAAAGAAAAAAAAATATATCCCAATTATATTTTAAGTTATATAAAAAAAATGAAATTCTTCAGAAATTGAGACCGTTTATGATATTTTTCACTACCATGACCACAATTTTTTAAATATTTTTTTCTTTTTTTTTTATAGGCAACCTGAATAGTACTGCTATCTACCACAATTCTTAAAAACTCCAGAATAACTCTTGTTTTATCACGAAAATTAATGAAACTTATTTTATTCCCTAAATTTTTTGAAGACTTTTACTTTTAACCAAATTTAACTTATCGTGGTGTAAAAAAAAAGTATGAACACTAGTATGGCAAGTTTTTTTAAAAATTGACGCAACTAACCAATATTCCAAAATGGTATAATACTCTAGGAAAACAAGTTATAAAAAAATATGGGCCTATTATTTCTTAACAGGGGCCAAATGACGGTCGGGTGTAATAAAAGTATTATTTCTTGAAAAATGTTTAATATTTCAAAACAAATGGTACAAACAGTTTCACGTGTAATTTATTAAGTTATTAATATTATAGCAAATGTTCGAACTGTTTGCCACCAGCATTAATACATGCACGACATCGCCTTAAAAATGATCGTTTTATTTGTCTTGCATATCTTCTGCTATTAATGTAATCAGCAGCCTGAGTGATATTTCGACGAAGCTCGTCCAATGTCACAATGGGTTTTGAGTAGACCCTGTTTTTAAGACAACCCCAATAGAAGAAGTCCAGGGGGTTCAAATCGGGTGAACGGGGTGGCCATAAGATAGGACCAAGTCGCCCGATCCAACGCCCTGGATACTCTTGATTTAAATATTCTCGCACAGGACGGGCATAATGTGCTGGGCAACCATCATTTTGGAACCACATGTTTTGAAGATCACTTAAGGGCACGTCGTTTAACAATTCTTGCAAGTCATTTTGTAAAAAGTTTAAATAACTATTGCCATCTAAGTTTCCTTGTAACTCAAAGGGCCCAATTACTTTTCCATTTAATATGCCGGTCCATAGGTTAACCTTGAATTGATATTGGGATTTGTCTTGTCTCATCAAGTGTGGATTTTCATTACTCCAACTATGTAGATTGTGAAGATTTAAATACCCATCTTTCTTGCACGTTGTTTCATCCGACCATAGAATTTTGTCTAGGAAGTGGGGATCTTCACTGTGCCTTTGCAGCATTACACGGCAAAATGTGACCCGTAGCGGATAGTCCCGCGGTAATAACGTCTGCACACGCCTGTAGTGATATGGGTGAAGCTTGTGACGTTTTAATATTCGATGTGCAGAACTTTTCGGGATTCCTGTAGCTTCTTCTATGGCACGTACCGAAGTAGTCGAGTCATTTTCTATCTCCTTGAGAACTTCTTCATCACGATCCAATCTAGGTCTTCCAGCGCTGCTCCTATTGGATGGCAGACGACCCTCCGAAAACGCTTGATGCACATTAATAAACACTCGATAATCAGGATATCTTTGAGCATTAGTACCTTCTTTCTGGATACAGTCTGCTAGCAGCGTTAGCATTACATCGGCATTCTCCATAGATTAAATGCATATTAGCGTATTCCTGTGGTGTGTACGGTTGCGGCATGTTAAACGCCAAACAGTCCAAAATGCGCCAGAACTCTAAATCACAAAACACACAATCGTAGTCCAAGATAATGCCAGGTCAGTTCAGTTTGCAGATCACTTCCAGTCCAAATAATGCCAGGTCAGTTAAGTTTGCAGGTCGATTCCAGTCCAAAAAGCCAAGCCAAAAGTCGATAGTATGTACGAGGGCCACGTAAGTTGAATTGGGTACGGTGCGCAGTAAACAAAGGAGCAGAGCGTACTGAACCGACTTGCTGAGAATAATAACAGCTTCTCTACCTGCCCTGTTGTTGTCTCTTTTTAACGTAAATATCTCTATCTATCTATCTCTCTCTAACATCTAAGGTATTAATGCCCCATTCGAATTCCTAGAAATTGTAACAGGAACCCATTTTGGGCATGTAGTAAAAGTGATTACTGACAATTACAATTTAAGGAATTTGGCCCCTGTTAAGAAATAATAGGCCCATATTTTTTTATAACTTGTTTTCCTAGAGTATTATACCATTTTGGAATATTGGTTAGTTGCGTCAATTTTTAAAAAAACTTGCCATACTAGTGTTCATACTTTTTTTTTACACCACGATAAGTTAAATTTGGTTAAAAGTAAAAGTCTTCAAAAAATTTAGGGAATAAAATAAGTTTCATTAATTTTCGTGATAAAACAAGAGTTATTCTGGAGTTTTTAAGAATTGTGGTAGATAGCAGTACTATTCAGGTTGCCTATAAAAAAAAAAGAAAAAAATATTTAAAAAATTGTGGTCATGGTAGTGAAAAATATCATAAACGGTCTCAATTTCTGAAGAATTTCATTTTTTTTATATAACTTAAAATATAATTGGGATATATTTTTTTTTCTTTTTTTACCCGATTAGTCCGGGGCAGGTCTATCCTCCGGTGTTGGCTTATCGTTGAATTTTGGGACACGTTGTATATATATATATATATATATATATAGCGGAGAGTTGCTCCAACGTGGTTTGTTGATAGCCTCGAGTTTAAAGAAGGGTCTATTTCACAAAAAAAAAAACTGAGGCGTTGTGCCTAAAACGTCGTGCTTATATTATACTCATTGGCTGCGCCCACCTGCCTTACATTCTTCACAAAATTTGACATTTGCTGTGAAATTCTTCGCAAAATTTGACATTTGCTGTGAAATTCAATAACTTACATTTAAGTTAGTAGAAGTATGTAATTAATTTAAGGATCGCAATTTCCACGGGACTTCTTTCGTGATTATAGTTCCAATCTGAGTCTTTTGTAATATGACTGTTAATTTTTTGTAAATCATAGTTTTGCAAACACCTTATCTGAGAAAATCAAACTTTTATTAAATAAAAGTAATACAACGAATGTTAAAATTAAGAGGACAAATAATTAATATTATAAAACAATATATACATTACGAGCTAGACATCCTAACTATATAAGATTGGTTCATACCCGCACATACATTAAAGTAGGACGTCACACACTAAACAACAGAATCCTAAATATAATGAACAAGTTGCCTCAAGGCGTGGTTGATGCTCCCTCTGAGGTTAGTTTTAAAAACAAACTGGACAAATGGTGCAACGACAATCAAAGATAATTTAGTGTATTCTTGGTGTGGATTTGGACTATTATAAAACACCAACACAGATATAGGCATATCAGCTATAAGCTGCTCGCCTATTACTATATAATAATAATGATGATACACGAGTCTTGTAGATACAGTTACCTATCTCCACTGGATGCGTTCGGTGACCTCTTTGGAGAAACCGAGGGTATTGTCTGTGTGATACAAGATCAAGTAATTAAGACCAACAACTATCGCAGATACATCCTAAGGGAATGGCACCATCGACATCTGTCGAGCTTATCGCCATCCAGGTGAGTCACTTAGGCATGTCATCGCCGATTGTTCGGCGCTTTCTAACTCTGAGTATTTGCGCAGACACAACCTAGTAGCCGGGATTCTACACCAGAAGCTCGCTCTGAAATATGGTCTCGTTGATTGAAAATTGCCTTAATACAAGTGCTTGCCGGGAGCCGTGCTCGAAAATGACTGCGCCAGACTCTACTGGGACAGGGCCATCATCACAGACAGGTCGATTCTTGCATAAGCCTGATATTGTGCTGATAGACCGGGCATAGTCAAGGATATTTTTGGTCAAGCTTACCATTCCGTATGACTAGAACCTGTGGTTCTCGTTATACGAAATATAAATGACAAACTCGTGGAAACTGTTTGGAAAAGTTTTTGCAAGACCCGCCGCAGAAGAACACAAAAACTCTCCAATCACACTCATAATCTCATGGCTGTTAGACGGAAAATCAAGCTGTAGTCTTCAGTAGATTTGACAGCATACAGGCAACTGAACAGACATCTCCAAATGCATGCGGCGGGACTTACGCAACTATTGAACGTATTGAAGAAGCGATCGAGCGGAACCAGGGCTCCAAAGTCTTTGCCAGGGATTACCAGAAAGTGCCACCTGTCGAAGTTGCAGCATCGTTTCCGAGACACCTGAGATTTTGAGTGAGATTGCGAGGTTCTATGGGCAGCTGTACACGTCATCGTTGGAAGCACACGCAAGTGTGAGTAACGATCCAAGAGCAAGTCTTATTCGACACTATTCCGATGGTATCCCGGACGTCAGTCTGAGTTTTCTTTTTTTTTATAGGATAAGGGTGACAAACGAACACACAGTCCACCTGATGGTAAGTGGTTGCTGCGACCCATAGACATCTACATCTATCCTCTATTACAAATCAAAATGTAGATACGTTGTCACCCGTGAGTACTAAGATGGAATGCCTCATTTCCAGTAAAGTGAGATTAGAATGGCTCTCCAGGACCTTAAAAACGGCAAGTACCCAGCAGAGGATGGAATTACAGAGGAGCTTCTGAAAGCGGGTGGAAAAGCGGTACTTCAGAAAGTCTTTCAGAAGCGCCGTGCTGTTTTCAAGAGTCGTTACCAATCGTCGCATGCAGCCTCGACGACTTCCAGTCTCCCGAACAAGCCGGTTTCCGAAAAGGCTTTAGCACCATAGGCCACATACATACCCTTCGACAAATTGTACAGAAGACCGAAGAGTATAATCTGCCACTTTAGTCTTGCGTATATGAACTATGAGAAAGCTTTTGATTCCGTCAAAATTCGGGCGGTGCTGCAGTCCCTCCAGCGGTACCAAGTGGACTGTCAGCATATCGAAGTGCTGAAGTGTTTGTACAGTAGGGCTACGATGGCTATCCGAGTACAGAACCAGAGTACGAAACTTATCGAATTGCAGAGAGGTGTAAGACAGGGTGACGTGATATCCCCGAAACTCTTCACCGCTGCATTGGAAGACGTTTTCAAGCTTCAGGACTGGAAAGGATACGGTATTAACATCAATGGCCAGTACATCACTCACCTTCGATTTGCCGACGATATAGTCCTTATGGCAGAATTGCTGGAGGACCTAAGCACTATGCTCAATGACCTCAATAGTGTTTCCGAACGGATAGGTCTTAAGATGAACATGGACAAAACAAAGATCATCGTCCACTGCATTGCAATCTTCTAGGCACTGAAAACGGTTTTGTAGCTCGAGCTGAAAGGTTTCGGGACTTTGGATTAGAGCACGAGGGGGACGGAGCGTTGACTTCATTAGACGAGACCTCTCCAACTTAACGTTTAGGTTCAGTGTGCTTTTCACCATTCGGTGATCGCTGCCGGTTTTCACCTTCGCGATCACTGAGACATCACTGAACAGTTGTCGTCTGGTCGTCATAATGAAGTCAATCTCATTTTTGTCGAACCGTCGGAGCTCGACCAGGACCACTTCCTGTGGGGCCGCTTCTGGAAGAAAGAGTTCATCATAAAGAGTCCCTCTTTCTCCATGAAGTCGGCCAGCTGCCGGCCCCTTGGGTTCCGTTTCCCTATTCCGAAACTCTCTACTTTCAACTCACCGTTTTCTCTTGTGCCTAGTTTCGCGTTGAAGTCTCCCATTAACACCGTATAGTGGGTTTTGGAGGAATGCATGGCTCTAGAGATATCCTTATACATTTCCTCCACCTCCTCATTGGGGTGTGCCGAGGTTGGTGCGTAAACCTGTATGACCTTCAGCGAATACCGTTTGGTGATTCTGAGTATAAGGTACGCAACCCTCGTCGACACACTCCCAATCTTTACAACGTTGTTAAGGAGAGAGTTGTGGACGATAAATCCGACACCTCCTTGGGACAGATGGTCGCCCTCCCAATGATAGAACAAATTGCCGGATTCGAGGATTACCGTGTCCTCCCCCTCTCTTCGGACTTCAGATAATGCTATGACATTCCAGCGCAACTTGTCTATCTCTTCTTCCAGCTCCAGGATCTTCTTGTCAGTCCTCAGGGTGCGTGCGTTATAAGTTGCCAGGTCAAATCGTCGTAGGTGGGAACCGAACCTCCACCGGAGATTCTTAGCACCCCCTGCCCCGCCGTTACCATGCCATCGCCACCGTAGCCAGGAATAGCGGGGCCGCCGGGGACTGGGGGCCGTCTCTTCGTTACTTTCATGGGGGGTATATTGCCATAGTTGCCACGCTTGGTGAGCGGGTTGGCAACCGCAGTTTTTTATTGTTGTTTTGTTGTTATCAGAAAGATGCTGCTGCCCATCCTCTGCCTGTTTCCTTCTGTCGCCATTTACGACACCCATGGGGTAGTGAGTATTCTTACCCGTCTACTCCCCGGGGACTACTACTAGGTAGGTATAGTAGACTATAACTAGTAGGTATATTAAATATTTATCATTTCCATTGAATGGTTAAAAAAATTAGAATTACAGAGCCAAATTAACCAAAAGGAAGCCATTATGAACAACAGAAAAAAAAATGACTTTATTGTACAATATGATGCAGTGCTTATTGCACCATCAGAGGCAGAACTGCAGGCATTAGTCACGTGTATGAAAGAGGAATGTGAAATTAAAGGTCTCCGTTTGAATGCTAATAAAACTAAGGTTCTGGTATTTGAAAGGGACGAAGAGAGAACGAAGTGTGAAATATGGGTAAATCAGGAATGTCTAGAACAGGTAAATGAAATTGTATACTTGGGGAGTGCTTTTAGCCGGGATGGAAGATGTGATTTAGATGTGGACAGGCGTGTCGCTGCCGGGAACAAAGTCAATGGTGCCCTGACTGCGTTAGTCAAAAGGCAAGGCGTAGCGAAGAGTGCACGCCTTGCAATACATAACGCAGTGTTGGTACCGACTTTGTAATATGGCAGCGAAACCTGGGTATGCCAGAAGAAGCATAAAAGTAAGTTGAATGCAGTGGAGATGCGATCTCTTCGTAAAATGTGCGGCGTTACCATGGCCGACCGAAAGCGAAACGAAGAGATTCGCAATATGGCAGGTTTGAAAGATGACCTTATCACAAAAATTGATAAGGGCGTGCTTCGGTGGTTTGGGCACGTTGAGCGAATGAGTGAAGACCGAATGGTGAAGAAAATATATAGCGCGAAAGTTAATATTAAAGGGTGTCGAGGTAAACCGAGACTAACTTTCGAAGACCATGTGAGCAAATTGCTCGAAGAGGGTAGGGTCAAAAGTAATCGGATACCTAGACGTGCATGCATGAAGAAGATAATGAATCTGAAAGAAGCGAAAGAGGTTTGTAAGGATCGTGACACTTGGCGATCTGTTCTCTCTGGCTACCCCGTCAGGGATTGTGCGTGAAGATAAGTATAAGTATTGTACAATATTTTTAGCGGAAAAGATTATTCTAATTTCCGTGTCTCAGGTTCAACATTGATTATACAACGCGTTGAATTCTTCCAAATAATAAATTGTAAAATCCACTGTTGGACAGTGGGACCCCTCCCCCCTCCCCTCTCTGGTCTCGTCGCGCACTTCTGACGTTGTTTCCACTCATTTATCTGGGTCTAGGTTACTACGACCGCCATTAACAGGTTAATTGTACCGCTACCTGTTGGAAGCCATTTATTTTTCACGTTTCCAATCGTCGCGTCGTCTCTTTTGATACCCATGAGATGAAATTAGGAGGATGGATTCACTTACTCAGGCCCCATGGCACACATGTGTATTTAGAAATAAACATGACAGCATTATCATACGCTGTATCAATATGGAATCCACTTTATGAAAAATACAATTATATGCTTGAAAAGATACAAAAGAAATATCTTCGATACATACATTTTAAATTCCACCGCAAACGATTGTCGTATAATTTGTTACTAAAGACATACAATTTAATTGATCTTAAATCTAGACGCACACAACTTGAAGTAATGTTATTACATGATCTTACTCATAATAGATATGACTCTATAGAAATATCAAACAAACTTTGTTATAGCGTACCTCCTCGATCATTAATGAGGTCTACACGTCCGCATAGATTGTTTGCAACCTTATCCTGCCGAACAAATGCGGGAATTCGTTCTCCACTTCACCGTATGGCCAAAACATACAATAATATTTTCAATGATATCGATATTATTGCATTACGACATACATCTTTCAAGAAATCAGTCATTGATAGGCTTGGCTTAGTAACACATAAAAAATGATTTTATTTTCTTCCTGTATATTGCATACCTGGTTGTAGATTCATGTACCAGCCAAACACGTCCCTACACACCTACCTCCACTCTTACACACATACACAACCACACACATATACACACACAGGCGCGCGCGCGCACACGCACACGCGCACATGCACACACACACACGCACGCACGCACGCACACACACGCACGCACACGCATGCACACACACACACACACACACACACACACACACACACACACACACACACACACACACACATAACACATATACACACATGTACCTATTAATAATGTTTATTAGTTACTTTATGATTTCTTAACTAGTTAACTAACACTTGTTATAATGTAAGATGAGCTCCACTTTAACACTAGATTATATGTATAATGAGACCAGCGCTGTTGGATTCATAATGATAATTACGTTTCTTTGTTTTGATATTTTATATATATTTAATTGTGAATCTGTTTGTGGTTCTTTAAATAAATGAAAAAAAAAAATTATGATGACATTTGACGGTCTTATAAGATAGCTTGGTGCTTTTTCGAACCGAACCATTCGTACTACAGCAATAATAAGACGTGGCGTAGCCCTATCACGTTACAAAATGGTGTGGTCAAAATTACTTACAATGAACTGGCGACATATCTGCGCGAACTGGTTGCAGTCGAAGGCGACTGGCGAGGCCCGCTTGCCGCCGGCCCAGTCGCGGCTGAACGTCAGCTGGGCCGACACCAGCGCCACCACCAGTACGCACACGCCCATCAGTTGCACGCCTCTACATTCGTAACATAACCATTAATATTTGTTTAAAACAATAATCTGTGTAAATCTTGCTGATAATCGAATGTAGTTCCACAATAATTAAAAATTTTGTATAGCCGACTTCAATATAAATTATTAAAAATAACTCAAAAACTATTGGTCTGAAATTCATATGAGACCACATGTGAAGTACCAGCTTTCAAATAAAAAAAGAATCATCGAAATCGTTTCACCTAGTAAAAAGTTATGAGGTAACACATAAAAAAAACATACAGTCGAATTTACTACCGGCGCCTTTTTGAAGAAAAGGATCATACGGTAAATGTCAAAATAAGTATTAGGACATTGAAGTATAATATATTTACGCATAATACGTGATAAAGCCGTTCTGCAGCTATATTACGGCTCACAGAATACCAAGACAAAATAGCACAATTTTTTTTTCGTGATTGTTGACAATATGATCTTAGTCCTCAGGGGTGACAACGCATCTGCATTTTGATTCTTAATCCAGAATAGATGAAGATCTCTATGGATCTCAGCATCCACTTACCATCAGGTGGGCTGTGTGCTCGTTTGGAACATATATAAAAATTAACATATATTAAATCTTCATATATAAAAATTACGTGTCACATTGTTTGTCCGCGATGAACTCTTAAACTACTGAACTGATTTCAGTGAAATTTTGCACACTGTGTGCAGTTTGGTCCAACTTGAAAGATAGGATAGTTTTTATCCCTATAAGTGACCCTAAATATTTTTTATTACGAATTTAAGAATTTTTATAGGACACGGGTTCGTTGGAGAGGGTAGAACAACGTCTGCCTGGCCAGCTAGTATATATGTTACTGTAAAAGCTCGAACTACGGTAAATCCTAAGATTTTCCAGTAAAACCTAGGATTTAGCATGTCTTAACAGTAAAAGTCCGAGCTGTTCTCTCGTAATCATTAATTTCCGACTTTTACGACCATAAACTTAGTAAATCTTAGGTTTTACCTCAAAGACACGTAAAATGTTGATAAATAGTCATATTTAAAAGTGTTTGGTGCATTATCGTGCTCGCGGTGTGCAGTGTACCCTCTCTCTCAGCTCGTCGCAATCGGTCGATTAGTACGTACATTTTTGTTATCTAGAAGTATTTATGACACAAAATGACTGTGAAACAAAGATTTTATGGGATACTGAACGTACTCGTGACAAGTAAGAAAGGTAATAACTTTTATCGCGATAGGGATAAATGCGTAGTGTTTAGAGAAATTAAAGGAAATGTTCAGAGGGCTTAACATTCACCCAGGCAACGAATAATAGAGCATATCATGAGAGAATCAAAAGAACCTCGTAATATTTGGTTTTCCAATGAAAATGGGTATCGCAACTTCAGCGATCCTTAAAGATATGATTGGAGTTATAAGATCTGAAGAGGATTTGGAGAATTTGTTGCATTCGCAGATAAATGCGGTACAATATATTACCGCCGAAAATATAATTGAACATGACAAAGAAGATATTAATGTAGAGAAATAGTCACAAAAGGTATTGTCCAATAACGCTGTCAAGAATAAAATACAAGAAGAGATTGTTACGGAGAAGGTGAAGGCTAAAAAAAACGATGTTTCTAATGTAACAACTGATGATAATGTCACTAGAAAATTCGATATTGATTCCGAGAAAGAAATCACGAGATAATTACAGGAAGTTCTTGTTACTATTGAATTTGTTCTGACAATAATCTAATAAGAAAAGTTAATGAATAGTAGGCTTAGCCAACGTTGGTATTATGTTTGTGAGAATAAAACAAATATATTTTTCTGTATTATACGTTAAAAACTCATCATAAAAATATTTTAAAATTTAGTCGGTAACATGATTCGAAATGATAAATACTTTCTACTTATATTATATTTTTTATTTCCAAAACCAACATTTACTAATAGTCATTGGTAAAAGCCCGAAATATCATCACATTTTATACCAAACCTTACTAAATCTAATCTTATTATTTTTTATCTTATTAATTCTAATCTAATCTATGCCTCACTGCCTATAATTAAGCTGACTGCATTCAGGCAGGTGTAGATACTATGCGTGCACAGCGTAAGTGCACTATTTGGTAGCATAAATGGGTAAGAGGGCGGTACTTACCTAGACGGACTCCTTGGTAAAGAAGACGTATTAATGATGCACTTAGTAGGAGTTCAACCATCTGGTTATGTTGTTATTATCATAGGGCCTGTACTGTATACAGACTTATTTTTGTTCCTATCAAAGCTTGCAGCCTGTTAGGCATATATTAAAGCATGTGCATCCACTTTTTTTTTTCTGTGCTAGTGCCGCGTTGAAGTGCTTTATAGCATGAATATTTCAGTTCCACTGTAGAATAGCTCGCAGAGAGTGCAGAGTCAGCAAGGGACGTATTAGACGTTTATCAACCGATATGAAGATAGGCTAAATTAAGAGTACCCTTAAACGACGACATGAGCTGGTATTTACCAACATGAGCTGGTAAATACCAGCTCATGTTGGTAAATCCTAAGATTTAAAAGAAAATTCTAAGATTTACCCAAATACGGGCTTTTACAGTAACATATATATAAAATACAAATGTAACCGAAGTTGTAATCTTATAACAAAATAACTATAAAGTTGTTTGCCCTAAAATCCTTTTAGAACATAAGGAATGAGAAAAGGGTGTTACTGTTCAATTTTTACAAGGTTTAATTTGCTTTGTTCGTGTGTCTTTCCGGTTCGAAATTTGTTATCAATTTTCGAAGCACTTGCTGACATTCGATTGAGCTGAAATTTGACTTATGGAACTTCAATGACAATACAATAACATGATACCATGGAGCTGATCTGATGATGGACCCAGATGCTGGCCCTCACGACGCCTATAAAAGTTTATTGAAATGAAAACTTCTTTAGCGCATTGTGATTTGAAACAAATGACGCACTAAAAAGAGACAAATAAGTATAAATCTATAGGATAGAATGAGATACAATCTATACTGAGTAATATAAAAAAGCGGAAGAGGTTTTTTCTTTGTTCACGCTAATCTCTGGAACTACCAGTCCGATTTGAAAAATTCTCTTTATATATTATAACTAGATGCTTGTGGAATAGTATAGGCTATCTAGCATTAAGCTGTACCTCTCAGCTAGCCTTAAATATAGATTTTGTTAAGCAATTCAGAAGAAAAAGCGCTCTCGAAATGATTTATCCACGTGCGCTGTGGTTAGTGATACGTAAATATAATGTTCTACAAAAATATAGATCTTTATTCCATCTAAAAAAAAGTCCGCGATACCATATGTCTATTTCTTATACAAAAGCCACAATAAGGTATTTTGCGACAAAAAAAAATTGAAAATTTTAAAGTGATTTATGAGCGTTGTTATTAGGATTGACATATTAATCCTTAGGACGCATAGTCTAAGAGATAATGAAAAATTAAAATAATTCAACCCTCGATGTGGCGCGCGAACGACGCCTATTCACCCGATGAGAACCGAACGAGAATAAGCAAGGTGTCATGTCGCGCGGCTCAGAGCGTGATATACGCGGGTGATACCGCGGGGAACAGCCAGTTTAGTAACTAAAGACACAGGTTTCACCTTCAAGTGCTTAGCGCTTACTGACTCCCGCTACCCCGTGGCCCGTGGGCAGTGTATAAGCTCAGTTTTTAAAATAATTTCTTAATAAAATCAAATTTTGGTCTTTTAAAAAAATTTTATCGTTCAAAATCTTCATTATTAATGAAGATTTTGAACGATAAAATTCAAAATTTAAAATTAAATCGAAAAAAATTGCCTATTCATTAGTATCAATTGCAAAATAAAATAATGCTTACTTTACGAGGAGACGCATATCATCAATAATTATTTCACATTTATGTGGTATCGTTTCGTAAGGAGATTATTCACTCCTTTTAAAAAATCGGATATGACTATTATGGAATCAAGATTATGTAGAAATTTAATGTGTTTTTTATTAGTTGATATATCTTTTTAAAAACAAGTAGTTAGATACTAAAAACCGCACAAATAACGAATAGCGCTTCATTTTGCTCAACCATGCACCTTAAGTGTTTCCTATTATCTCGGCCTCCTCTGTGAGCGGTGCTTTAAATATGTCTAATATAACTTTTTTTAACAGTGGTAGAGCCACGCGGCAGCTTTTGCTGTCGCACGGATGGGCCGGCTCGAACCGGGGTGGTACCACGACCTCACAGAAAACCAGCGTGAAGTAGAGGTTTACCTCTGCGTTTTGCTTAGTGAGTGCAGGTGGCCGGAGGCCCTTTTTACTGGAAATGAGGCATTCCATCTTAGTCCTCACGGGTGACAACGCATCTACATTTTGATTTGTAACAGAGGATAGATGTAGATGTCTATGGGCCGCAGCAACCACTTACCATCAGGTGGACTGTGTGCTCGTTTGTCACCCTTATCATATAAAAAAAAAACTTTAAAATGTTAAAATAAAGAATTACAAATTACAAATTTATTATCAATAAAATAAATTAGGTATACTAAATAAAATTGTCATATCCAAAGCATTCTTAACAATCCCACAGAATAAATCTCGTAATAGCATAAGAAACATTCAACGATTTTATGTGTTACCGATTTAAATTAAATTAATCTATTTTACGGACCACCTTGAGATCAATTTTCAATCAATTTTTGTTTCCTTGTTCGATAAAATTATTTTACATAACGAATTCATTGTATAGGTAAAATCATTTTATTGAACAAAAATTGATTGACTGCAGTAGGCATCGCTATTACAAAGCAGTTTTCGTCAAAAGAAAATATATTCTTTTGATTTAATACACTAAAATTTAGACTCTACAAGTCTAAAAATAAGGATTGTAATATTTGTTTGCTATAAAATGAAACTTTTATTATTTTATGCCGCTCTTGTAGTTGAAAACCAGCAAATTAAATAAATCATTTGCTTTAAAATGTTTATATAAAAGGAGATAGGTAGCAACATCAT